GGATCGTCTCCTCTAGCCGTAGTATCCCCAGCTCCTGGAGCCGGCTTTGGGCGGCGAGGACTGAAGAACCCCGGCTTGGGGAGGAGACAGAGAAGCGAGCTCCGTCCGTCTCCCCGGCGGTCAGGGACCCCCTTCAAACCGCCTCCCTCCCACACAGCTCTCCAGATCTCGTTGTATTTCGGGATTGATGGGAAAAAAATCCAAATTTGTTTGTTTGCTTCTTTTTGGGGGGTGGTGGGGAAAGGTCGCAGGTTCCTTTGGGACAACTACGGGGGGGCTCCTCAACTCGGCCTCTTCGTGCCTCCCATGATCCTGCCTTTTCCCCCACCAAGCCCATCGCAGACAGAAACGCCTCCCTCCGCAGCCCCCTGAGCTGCAGCCCCTAGGGGAGAAAGAACCGGAGGCGCCTCGGATGCCCACCCGATGAGGGGGTCTCATCCCAGGAAGGGGGGATTTGGGGACTCTCCTGTCCGCCGAAGCAGCCGCCCTCCCCCCTCCCAATCAGCGGGTCAGATCTAGCTCCCTCTCGGACAACTTACCTCAGAGAGGAGTCAAGGGGAGAGGGGAGGGGAGGGGGAGGGGACAGGGAGCTCCGCATAACCTAGAGTATCAGCCACCTCCCAAGCCCTGAGGTCCCCAAAGATCCTGGTACTTTCTTGGGAGGAAATGACCACGAGGGGTCGCTGACCACTGGGCTGTAGGAAAGTTGAGGCCCAGCCATAGAGCAAGGGGCGAAGCCCAGCACAGGCTCCACCTGAGACCCCCCTGGCGGCTCCCCACTGGCCACTCCCGGCTCTGGCTGGGGAGGGGGCAGGGGCGTCCTGGCCCGGCTCGGAGGCACCTGCTTCCCACTGGTCTGCGCCTGGCACTCCCTGTGCCACTCACTCAGGCCGACCAGGGGCCATTAGCCAAGATCTAGGCCTGTCTCCCTCCCGCCACCCACGCCCAGCTGCAGCCGCCAGCCGCCCGCCCGCGCTGCCAGCCAGGACTGGGGGGGCCCTGGCTCTGAGCTCCAGGCCCTGGGCCAACAGCTCCCTCCTCCCGGGAGCCTGAGCCCCCAGGGACCTCCCTGCACCTCGGTTTCTGACTGTGAGGGTGGGGAGCCCTCGGAGGGCAGAGGGAGCTCAGCCCAGGGCTGGACCCTCTCGCACCCAGAGCTGAGGCCAATGGTCAGGTGGGCGGGAACCAGCGACCAGCCCCGCTGCTGGGAGGGTGGTCCCAACCCAGGCCTGCTGGCGGTGACCTGCCAGCTCCAGCTCACCCTGTGCCACCGCCCCCCAGCTCTTGCGGATGCTCACTGCTGAGCGCCTGCTGTTTACCTGGCCCTCCGATTCCCATCCTCCAGAGCTGGGCCAGGGAGTCAAGGCTGCCACGTGCGGGGACCCTGCCTGGCTGGGTGGAGCTGAGACTTCTAGAAGGAAGGAGATGGCTCCCCCGCAGTCCCCCTGCTGCCCAGGGCTTGGAGCTTCTGCTCTGCCGGGAGTCCCCATCATGGGGCGTCTGGCAGGTGGCCTGGGCCCAGCCCGGCAGGGTCAGTGGTCTCAGCCCTGCCCCAGCTAATTCCAGCTTCCTGCTCCATGACTGAGCTCCTACTATGTGCCAGACACTGGCTGGGGCACATTCAGGACTGAT